ACAAGAAGGAAAGTGGATAACATAGTGACCCACAGCATTTCTTGGAAACGATCTGAGGTATGCCGTCGAAGGGCTCACTAGTTGAAGGCTTCAAATTTTTCATCACCAAGAACATCAGTAGAGTGAAAGTAGATGTCGGGTAAATTACGATGGACATATTTCAAGCTGTTATGCACTTCGCCATCAGCAGTAGCCGAATCCAAGAAGACACTAGCGAAATATCGATCCAGGGATTCAGCCAGAGTTATTATAAAGTCTTGTTCCAGCCTGATCATTCAAAATAGGGAGAGATGGTTTGGGTTTGAGCTTGTTGTGAAGGTAAAGGTGCAATCGCCGCAAAGACGCAGACCTCTCAAGATGACGCTCGCAACTGGCAACAAACTTGCAAATGGTGGTCAACGTCAGAGCACACCTTTTTATAAAGCGGGGAACTTAAAGGGAAATCCACTTTCTGGAAAAGGCGTTCCTTCTGGAATAATAAGTTTTTTATACGTGAGGGATATCTTATAAAGGTAGATTTCGGAAACCTCATTTGGACGAAGCTTGCTAACCCACTGTAGACCACTTTGCAGAACCTGGCGTATGCATCATCGGCGGAGATGTAATTCTCAAATAGCTGTAGCCAATCAACATTCCGAAAGTACTCATCAAGACCAACGTAGTCAGCTGAAGAGAAATCAGGGAAGGGTAGATGACACATACCACCAAGCTCTTCTAACAGACTGAAGCGAACAACGGAATGATCTGAAATCGCCAGTGGAGCTGACACTGTAACATCGCTTATGTTGGAAAGCGTAGAAAGGACTAAGACAAGAATTTTACTGCCATGCGTTGGCATACATACATGCTGGTTAAAGCCCATTTCTCGAAAGAATTCCAGGAAGGCATTGAGGAAGGATTGAGTGCGTGATGATGCTCCCAGTCAATGGAAAGTTGAAGTCTCTCACAATTACGCTATTGGCGTGGGACGAGGCGAAGGCACATAGTAACTCCACTAGCTCTTCATCCTCACTTTTTAGTGAATTTGGTGGACGATATACAAATGCAAAGCGGATCCTTGACGCGTTGCGAGGACAGAATAGTTCAAAGCAGAGCACATCAATTAACCACTAGACCACATCGGAACATATTGGATTTATTTATTGTGCGTGGAAATAAAACTTCAAAACCGATGGAATTGATATTGGAGCTTTCCCGTCCCTCCAAACCGTATCCGTTTGACCCTAAGCAGCACATTCTTAGTAGTATACTTCATGAAAAAGTTCCAATCAATTTTTATTATTTTTCAACAAAAATAAGCGGTATCGGATATCAGATCAGATAGCGATATCATGGCAAAGATTCCGACTCAAACCACAGAGGAAAATAGTTATGAGAAACCTTTTGACCCTTCTTAGCTCTCTCGCCACTTGTAGTAAGGATTATACTTTTGCTTTGGAATTTAAATTTTTCCTTCACGGTGAGCGTCTTTTCGTCAGAAAAAAAACTGTCGAAGTGCGGTAGGTTCGTGGCGTAATCATCTCTAAGTAATTGTATTCGAAAAAGGGCCATACCTGAAACAAGACTACCGTCTCGAGCTCGTTGACCGTTGACCTGTCCACGCATCGCGATACAAGAAGCTGTCATGTGAGAAATGTCGAAACGACGAGCGATCCCGGAAGAGGACTCATAAAGTGCGCGCAAGGGGGCAAAGGCTATTGGATGTTTGCGGGGCTTCACCATTTTATAAAAATTGACAAATGGAGAGCACCGAACAGATGTGTGAGGTGAGGTATATAACAAGCATAAGAGAAGGTGCAGAATGCACAAGGGAAACGCGGACTTCCTTTATGTTGTTACCAGTTATAGCTCTCTATAGGATAAAAATATGAAATTTGTGGCGTCAATCAATCGTGTCTGAGGGATGCGCCCCTGCACTCGACTTCCATTCAGAATCGTAGTGACGTAGTAAGTGCGTATGTGGCCTATACAATGACTTGCGGTGGCCAGCCGATGTACAAGTCAGTGCTTCTATCCTCCCAGACAGGTGTGGTACCAAATAACCGACCGCGGAGGGATGGAAGACTTGGTTGGCCCAGGCGGATATCGATCTGGGATCTGGGTTCTTATATAGAAATCACTAAGTCAAAACGCACCATGTTTCTACATATGTGATCTAAATGGAGAGCAGGGCCGCTCCTGAAGTTTTGCAGGCTATGAATGACAAATCGAAAATGGTTTATTTAGAAGCCGTGGAATCTCGAGGGCAACGAAGACGAAATCTTGAATTATTGCATCATGACCCATCGGGCGCACTGGAAATTCAAAAAATCCTAGTAGCTATATCAATTACGGATGAAGAGCGACTTATTTTGCAGTGTACGATCGAGGAAACAGCAAGGCATCAGATAGAAAACCCATTACGATAAGAAAGAGTAGTCAGAAGGGGGTGAGAACAGCATTCTCAACGATTATCTCTGCTTACTGGGCACCACACACTTACAAGAAAACGTGGAATATGCCAAGGTTTCAGTTATGAGCACCAATTACCAAGAACATGATGAATATGCCTAAACTAGAAAACCGGGTATGGTATGGGTCGTTTATTGCTGTTGCTGCACCTTCGGACCAGATCACCGCTCACCCTCCGCAAAATGCTGAGCTTGGACTTCATAGGTGAAATGCCCTGTCCCGAACGGATCAGACATGAACATCACCTTCTTCTTCACTCCTCCTTTAATCACTCGTTCGTTGCACAGTCCGATACCTTTGTCAATCGTTGCCACTCCGTTCTATTTACAGCATTTTTCGCTGTCACCATGACTTCCGCGTAATCCTTCTTGTTCACTTTTGCCACCTCTTCTTTGGTTCCTCGTAGTGGCTTATCTTGGGATTTGAATTTCATAGCTTTTCTTACCGGACAATATCTGGTACATAATGCCACTGGCGCTCATCTAGGTCAATTCGATGCGACGTACTCGATTTATCTACACGTATCTCACGCAAGCGTTCGTGCACTCTGAGTTATGGTCTCCTTCCATGCAGCCCGTATGGCCCCGTGATTTGGACTGCCTTCTCCTGAGCGTCCCTATCGCATCGGGGGTCCCTCCATATGAAGGGACTTGCCAGGCTCTAACGAGGGCATACATAGCTTCAATGATTGAGGGATTATTTAATTGATATTTATCGAACGTCGCCTAATTTTCATGGAATCAATTGGACATATTTTTATCGAATGAACGAATGCTTCCGAATTGTGTACTGCCTTCAGGCGTTGGAATTGTCGGTGATGTGGCAGTACTATTGGGCATGAAGAGTGTCGCTGTCTAGACAGGGATAAGGAAGAGTTACAGTAGAACTATTTGAGTACAGCGGGAGCTAGACGTTGATGACGGTATGCGCCGTCGTCACAGTTGTTTCATAAATAGTTGTTGACACGATGAGAGTGTTTGCAGCAACTGAAGAGGTGGTCGTAGTTGATATAGTTCTTGTTCGTACACAAGGAGTACCGTATTCCACTCTGTTCACCCAAAGTATTATAGATCATTCGAAAAGCCTGAGCTGGTTGATCTATCGAACACAGAGTATTAGTCTCTTTGTAGAGGGGCAATTTTAATACGAGAGAAGGTTGAAAGGAAAATATTCCAAGTCCCAAACATTTCATAAGAAATGTGCTCAACATCCGACATCCATCCAAAGTCCTAGTAGGTTTATCCTTTCAAAACTATTTGCTGCGACCAATTAGGCTTAGCTGAATTGAAAATATCCGCACTATACATGATCCATCCTTACAATATATCCTTTACACTGAAAGAAAGATTACTCGGGATGCTGCAGCTGCGTGCACTTTGGTGGAAGAGTCAACATGATGAAACACCAGCCCCGGAACTCTCGAGGAATTGCGCGGTTTGGAGAGCATCTAAGGATATTGAGGTAGTAGCGAAGAAGACAAAGAACCTCCGGTTCCGCGCTCAACTCTTTGACACTGAGGTCCTCCCTGCTCTGACGCGCCTCGTAGCCTCGGACTCTACAAAAGAAGGATTAACATTCAGTCAGCGTCATTCAACGTTCTGTGGAAAGGACGACGCTCGAATTTCCTTATACACGCAAGTGCAGAAGGGAATCAGGAGGTCTGAGGTTCGTCAACGAATGCCACGATGCCGTTGCTCACGCGAAGTAATAGAAGTTCAGGTGAGGTGTACACGTCGTGCGATATCGTGATGATCGTTTAATCAGGGCCGTACTAACTGGAACCTTCGGGACGTCCAATGAACACTAGGACGGAGGCGGCAAGTTGGTTAAACTTCTTCACGAAAGTTCTGAACTGAAAATGCTTTTTTGCTTGGTGACCCTCGAGCGAGAGCGACTCAATGGATTACTATGTTTCGCAAAAGAGACGGGCCTTACTGGTGCTCGAGGAACTGGATGGATGCAGAATGGGGCGAGAGACAATACAGGTTATAGGTGATGAGGATACTACGAACCCGCTGCAAAATATTATATTTACCCAGAAGTTCCAGTAAAGGTGCCTTCACCATCGAGAACTAGACTCCACCTCGAAACATCCGTTCTAACACAGTAGTTATCGATGGCGCCAGCGGACAGAAATAAATACAAGTATTAGCAGTACTTTGTCTCTTACATCGGGAAGTCTTCGTTTTCCTACTTTGTGGCAGTGATTCGGTGGGTATCTTCCATGAGAGTTCATTCAAGGCTACTTTTTATTTCATGAAATACTGATCGTTGACAACTGTGTACATGCATATAGTGTCAGTGGAGCACATTGAGGACATGGACCGAATATCTCCTAATCAGACCGAAAAATGTTGAATTTGGTAGTCAATTGAAAATAGAAAAGTTCGGGTATGATGGAGTCAATCTAACAAAAACATCTTTGAACAATCAAACAAGCAAAAATTCATGAATTTCTAGTTGTTTTACTTCAAATATAGATCGATAAGTGATTGCTTTTTGGGTTGACCACGTCTGAGGTAGATATTTTCGCCGACATCCCTTATAGCTCAGTTATGCTGGAACGCATAGCAGACAACACCGTCGCGCTCTGTTTGACAGTACACTTTGCTTCGAGTGACGTAGGTGAAATCCTCCTTGGAGCAGAATACCGCAAACATCCCTAAAAAGTTCTTCTTGAAGTTTTAGGACTTCAGTCCCAACTAACACCATCACCTTTTAGTTTTTCCTCGGCTATCCTCTGTATAAGCCGCTTCGCTATTGACGGTGTGTTGTAGGAGACCTGGATGGAAAATAAAAACACAAGTTCATTCATTCTATGGCGATATCTCCTCACCTTGCCCATAATGTCTCGCAGCTCCTTACTCGTGCAGCGACTGTCATTCAGGTCAGTTTCATTTTGCGCTTTTGATGGTAGGGAAAGATCAGCTGTCACCGTTTTTGCAGACTTTGCGAAAACCTGCAAATTTAGCAACTTAAATCACTTTGTAGATTAGGTTCGGATATTTGGAAGCCATGTTGTGCATGACCATTTATTAATTAATAGATCATTTATTAATCATTTAATTGATCATTTATTAATAGAAAGCTAGCACTTCATAAAAATTTAATCACAGAAAAAAATAACTCTCGATGTTGCTAAGTACAGTATAACCAAAAATAGATTCGACGTTTAGCTAAACCTTCTTTTGTTTTCAAAAATTCTCGTTAAAACTCTCGTTAGAACACATCACTACAGTAAGACAAGTGAAGTAGCTTCTCTCTAGAAAGGGAAACTATCCAGATTAGTGCGTGGATCAGGAATAAAAAACGTAATCTTCGGATTTGAAGCCAAAATCAATCCGGATCGGTGAGTATGCGATAGATTTCCTCATCTCATCAAGTGTTCCGAAAGCAGGAACGTGAGAATGCTCCGAAAGCTGTGCGCTACCAATTGTACCCACTCGTGATTCTATTGAATTTTAGAGGGCTGAAGTAAAGTGAGAACCTGACTGTACGTCGAATCTCACAGTCTTATCCAACCCTCTGCCATTTCCCCCTTTCAGAAGATTCCGGAGTCATCTAAGTTTCTTAAATCGCCGATTGCTCAGCAAGAGTGAGCAACTGGCAACTCAAAACATCGCCCATCTTCTTGAACCTTCTTAATAAAAGGTTGCGAACCCGTTTTGCTCGGGGCCCGCAGATGGATGAGCACCGGCCACAGCAGTCATTGATCGGCATCGGGTGAGGTGGTTGAATGTATGATCCTAAAAAGTTATAGATTTTTCTATCAAAGAAGCATTGACAGCTAAATGATGATATGATGAGGATGTGTTGGAACTACTGTACTATGGGGCAGGGGTGGAAATTCGCTAGTTCGAAAGCTGGCTTGCAAAGGGGCCTGAACAGCGAAAGTGTGCATTTGAATCTATTACTAGCCTCTGTCAATGTGTTTCAAGCTTTTACACTATCCTACTATAATATGCTGTTCATAAGAGCTGATGTAAAGCGTGGCCGGCCAGCTTTCTGCGGTGTATGGCCCTCGGTGTCAGTACCCAAATACGGTAGAATAGGAGCAACTCTCAGGGTTCGGTTTGAAGAGGTAGCTTCACAAAAAGAAAAAGCAAAGAAACTAGGAACAGGAACTGGAAACAAATCGAATAAAGAGACCAGAAGATTATTTCCTCTCATGGCGCTGTGGCGCCACTTTAACCTTTTGACGACAATGGCACCCACCGCTTCGTGCCACTATGATGGGCACAAGGGAGGTTGGCACTCAATTTTGAGAGCTACCATACTTTAATTTTTCTTACCAATTGCTGAATTCAGTAAGCCAACGAAAGAATTTTCTCCCGGGACAGTGCCACCCACCGGTGGGTGCCATTCGCGTGCGAAAGGAGGGGCTTGGTCACATGGGCGCGTCGCGTCGGAAGCCCCATTGTCGTCAAAGGGTTCAACTGCTTTTTGGTGTGTGGTTTTGTGCGATACTACAATAGCGCTATGCCCGACTTGCAGGAGATTCTGTTTTTCAATTAGAAACAAGACATACTCACCAGGATATGGCTGGGGCGGTGGAGGTGGCGGTGGCGGTGGAGGAGGTAGAGGTGGATAGGTAGGAGATGGCGCGTACGGCAAAGCATATCCTCTTGGCATATAGGGAGCAGGACGGTAATAGTGCGGCTGCACTCCTTCACATCCTGAAATTCTTTTTCTTTTTTTCTTGTGAGCATTTGAGTAAAAGTGAACGGAGAAGACTTGAAAGTGGTTGTCAGCTGCTTCGTCAGTGGTTTGCATTTAGAGATAACTTCCCCGAATCTTCGTCATGCGGTTGTGATGAAGCTTCATCATTCGAGAAAAACCGTCGATCAGGACCCTCCCGAAGTGTATAGTGATCTTATTCCACGGAAACTTTAAACCTCGCGTGAAGTGGATCCTACCTTACCAAGTGGGCGATTAGAGCGCTAAAGGTCTAATTGTTTTTGATCACTCCGCCTCTCACTGTTACCAGGTACTATAGTTGAGTTTACTGCATAATTCACCTGCTGGAACTACTTGGATTGGTCTGTATGCTATAGGGCGTGGTTGGTAGGGCTGATACGGCATTGGTTGGAGAGGTTGTGGTTGAAAGGTTTGTAGCTGATACGGTCGTGGTTGATAAGGTTGAGGGTGAGTTTGATAGATTTCCTCTCGTACATATGTCTTCGAAGGTGTAACAGCGACAGTCTGAAAAGCATTTATGGTGACAAATGAGAAGGAAGTCGGGCTTAAGGATTCACCTCAGACGTTGACGTTGATTCCTCTACAGCGATTTGTTTCAATTCAGGAAGCTTTTTATCGTACTCCTCATACTCCTCCTTAATAAATGAGAAATTAGAGAGTACTTGATTGAAAGTGGAGTTATCCAAAGATTGAGCCCAGCTCAGAACTAACTTGCGTTTTTGCTGAAGAAGAAGCACTTGCCGGCTCTTTATCGACACTAGTCAGAGTATCCGATGGAGGCTGAGCGTACGAGTTCGCTGAACGTACAACATGGTTAGGCTAAACCTGTTATGCTCGTAACTGAATTTCTCTTCGATCATAAGCACTGCGAAGGCACTGTTGTGTGTAGGAGTCAACACCAGGCCTACCTTAGCCTCCAACTAGTGTATAGTACGTAGGTGAGTCTCATGAAGTAGACAATATGTTTTTGCATGATTCTTTCTGAGTTGAAATTGTGCTTGAAAAGTGAAAAAGATGCATCAAAATAGGCTGACAAACAGCGATTTGAATTTTTTGTAATACGGTATTTCTTCAGCCATAATGTCATAGCCTTTCTCAACACCCGACCCCAATTCAGAAGTTTTCCTTAGCCCATCAAGTTATGCCACAGATTGCAAATAAGCCGAAAATAGGGTAGTCCCCTGAGAACCGCTGCGGTACTCTGGTGACCTTGCAGAGACAGTGAACGCTATTGAAACTGAAAACCCTGTCCAAGGAACCACTCTTTATCTAGTGATTTCTCAACTGATCTGAAAGATTGGAGCTAATAAGTCTGAGATTTGCTGGAGCTACTCTCGCCAGAAACTGAAGGTAAGCAGATAGAAATCGAAAATTTTCCTAATTCTGCACAAATTGCTTTTTTTCTCGAAAGGAAAGGGTACCTACATCTATAGTAGTATTCAATAGGTTGCGGTTGAGGTAATGGTTGAGCAATGAGTTGAGGAAGTGGTTGAGCTATTTGCCGAGAATAGTGGTGACCGTAAGAGGGCTGAAAGCCTCCACCACCTCCACAACCTTGATTCGTTAAACATTGTGTGTCGACCCTGAGAGTGGAACTCAGCACCAAAAACAGGATAATCATCGTCGTGGGTCCAGCAAACTCCGTGTCTGAAATTGTGGAAGAATAGGCGAATGTCCTTCACCGAAAACTGAGGAAGATACAGGACCGAATGGCTGATTATCAATCAGTTACAGACTCTTTATTGTCAAAGCAAAAACCATCAGTGGTTAGTATTATTGAGGCAGTAGGTAGTAATAGAAGAAAACTGATTTCACGTTGAATCGTGTGCCTTCAACATGGTGCGCCTGTAGGCAGACGGACGGCACCACCGACTGAAGGGATGAAGGAGGACACTGAGGAAAAACAGGTCGGCGACGAGGCAAATGCGCTTGAGCGCGATTCAGAGCCTTTATAGGGGAGAATGGCGGTGAACGCCGTCGGCAGCCGATGCGGCACGGCTACAAGGCCAGTTCCTGCCGGCTAGTCGGATATCTGTAAATCCGTCGTTTGTAGGAAGATGAGCCGCTTGGTAAGAGTTTCACCACCATGCATTTGAGAGGATAATTGCGATTGACGACGACGGGGAGGTCGCAAAGCGAAAACCACGAATAATTGTAGGATTGAGCTAGTGCTTTGGCTATGATTGAGCAGTGCATGGACTTTGGAACTACCGCATGAATGGTTCTTTATTTTTTGAGAGGCGTTTTCAGGAAGTACAATATAATCAGAACAGCGGACTGAGACAGAATCAGAATTTGATGATACATTCTGAATCTCCCCCCAATAGATTTAGAATGTCTCATCGAATTCTGACTTGGCCCAAGCAATATCCAGGAGTTCACAACGCTGTGGCTTCTTTCTGATACCTTTTTATGGTAGATACTCAAAATACTCATGCAGTCCTGGAAAATGTAGGGCAAACGTTTGTCATGCACTACAATCGGGCGGTAGGAATGAAGAATAACCCTTCTATCTCTTCTTTGCATCTTTTTTAACTAGGTATTCATGGGACAAAATCTGATTTTCTAGCTATTTCTTCAGTTGTGCGGTTAATACGGTTTTCCCTCAGAAAATAAAGCTTTCGGGAGCTCTTAATACAAATGTAATGAGGAAATAGCGGGTGTTCACATCAGCCAATTTCCACTGGCCCTATGATTTCCCAGTTAACAGAGGCAGAAGGCCAGGATTTTGCTGTGATCACATTCCAGATTTACAGGTGGTAGAACTCTGAGTAGTTCATCTGATTGTGAAAGTGCTTCACCATTTTAGAATATCAAATTAATTCCGAAATCATGTATAGAGTTAGATTGAGGATTTATCCTCTCAGAGTCCGGACGGAAATCCGATCTTAGAACTCCAGCTGACCGTAGTCACGAGAAAATCACGTTTACTTCCAATTAGCGCTTGGATCAGACAGCCATTTTACTATCCAATATTTGTATAAATTTTCCTCTTGCTCCCATCTCGAGTTGATCTCACTACTGCCTTTCCTTGGCTTTCTTCGTTCAACGTGCTAGCATTTGTTTTAAGGGGGGGGGGGGCAATAATGGAAAATGATCGTAAAAGGCCGCTGAAGTATAAGCCTAAACCCCGGAAGGAGAGAAGGCAATGGTTCCACCTTTAAGTAGCCCCATTGTATATGCACCACGCAGCTACACTTCAGATAATCTCATTTTCTTTTTCAGCAATGAACGTGGCCTACTCTTTCTTTGGCTATCACATAAAACAGTAACGAAATAATCGAGAAATAGTTAGCATAAACGTATCCCTTGGTCAGTATGCAATTAGATTAACGTAATAAGTTTATAAGTATATACCGTTGGCCGAAAAAGTGTTGCTTTTGGTCGTCACGTCGAATACCATGACGTTGACTTTCTGTATGGGAAAGAAGCATGTCCAGAGACAGCGTAGTTCCTTTGGAGTGGACCACCACTCGCTTTGCACATTCCTCTCACGCGAACTTGCTTTCAACCACTTGTACATCTAGTAATGGTATCTCTTTTACTGAATTCGGGAGTGAGTTTTGCGCTGATTGGAAAACATTGAAATGATCTTGGCCACCTTCAAAGGTATTTCTGAGTAGAGCTGTTTTTCGGGGAGATTTGGAAATACGGAATATCAAGAGTGATTGGTCATTCTAGAGTTGCGCTCGCACGGGTTTTCTTCCTGAACTTAAGGGTCAAACAAATGGCCCATGGAGTTCGAAACTGTTTTTACAGAGTTTTTCCTGATCGTGTCTTCCTTTCGAAAAGCCAATTCATCCTTCATTTAATTGCATAATCAGCCTTACTTGGAGGCTCAGTCCGCGATAAGAAGAAACAGAAATCTATCATCGGTAGGAAACCACAATTCAGAAGAAGGTCTGGAGCATTGCCAGGCCTAGATGCAGCTCAGTAGGGCGCTTTCGACTCCATCTGCCGCCTGATGATCCCATGACAGGACTGAATCAATGGTTTTTTGAGACAGGTATTTGTCAGAATGGGGCACGTTTGTTGGAAGTACTATTACTGATACGCATTAGCAGCCTGCGCCACTTTTCTGTAGCCACCAAAATCTCGTCAATTGACGTCATAAGCTTACTCAACTACGAAGCTCAAAAAGCTCAAAGAACTATCAACTAGCTCAAGAAACTTTCCGCTAACTTCTCGTTTCATTTGCTGCCGATGGGCTGTTCCTCATCAACGTTTTTACCCTTCACACTGAGAAAAAACTTATAATATCATCACAAACGGTACCTTCAAGCTGCATCAGCGGCGAAGCCGGAAATGGCGTCTCACAGAGCCTAGCCTTTTCTTCATATTGCCTTGGCCCTATGGGCTTCGTGTTGTGCTGTCCCTTTTTGACCAATCTTTTGCTAATACTATTTGGATAGATGTGAAAAGATAATTTAAAATAACGATAATTTGTGCTCATAGTCCCCAACTTCGCTCTTGCTTCAATCTCGGCATATTTGTCTATGATTAAAATATGTCTGTGCCGTACTAGGTCGTCAGGTGGAACATTTTATCAAATCAATTTGATTTAATAAATTGTTCCACCTAAAAACCTCGCACAACACACACAAGGATATTTTGCTCATAATTTATGCTATTCTACCTCTAATCTGACATGAATCATTCACGTGGCGGTCGCCTTACTCACATTTGCGATGACTGTTAGTTAGTGTGAGGTCTCTGTTGTCAGGTGAATAATAGGGCCCGCATTCAGAAGAAAATCCTCAAACTTGTACGATCAAACTTGGACAATATCCTGTTTGTATGATATTAGTTATGCGTAAGTTTTCGGGGCACAACAAACACTGTTGAAAGATTTTCGTCCATCAAACTGCTGGCCCATTAAACAACCAATTCCAAGCGTTCAGTAAGGCTTCGGCCTCCACGAAATGTTTGTATAGGAGACGAGCCTGCCACCTGGCGGCCAAGGTTCTTCGCCTCTGAATACTCAGACCAACTGGTTTTCAGCTTTACCGTATTGCATCATCCATCCTAACGCATATCCACTTCGTGCACACCACGATCGAATCATGGATTGAGCGACGTTGTTTGCCACCACAGCCATCGATGAACTCGATTTCGTCAGCGCGAATAAGAAAATCCAAAGCAGGGGTGCATTGTTGGAAGCATCCAGTTCCATGGAAACTACTTTTCACCAAATAGTCTTATCTAAAGCTATTTGTTGCATGACAGATAGTGTTTTGAGGGAGTGTTTTGCTGTAGGATGCGACCTTTCATTCAATGTGACCGATGGTTCCAGTAAGGCGTTTAGAAAGGCAGGTTCCAAGCCGTATATCCCCCTATCTAAGTGTATGTTATGGAAATATTTCTGAAAAGTCAAGCCACGAGCAGAGGTTGTGGTCAAGATAGCTTTAGTTTTTCACAGAACGATAGAATATTACTCGTCTGAGGGTAGGCCACTTGAAAAAAAACACAAAGCCGAGTTCTCTATGAAGCTGAGTGGTGGGAATCCCACGCAAGGCACTCAGTTCTCATGCAACTTGTGATACGTTTTTCTTCTTTCCCCATCTATGTAGAAGAAGCAAAAGAAGCGGCTTGGTCCACGCTCGTAAAATTCCATCCAGTGATTTACATTTTTATCGAATGTATCATGGTTACCATAGCAATAATGTTAACGACGTTGACAAAAATCGAAGGAAAGAGGCAGTGGGAAGCTACCTCAGTCTTTTTTTAGTGGAAGGTAGCAGAATATTGAAATTCCACGAATTTCTCGAATTCGAAAATATGGTGTAAGCATGCAAAAAGTAGCACTATCATGCATGCAAATCCTATGATTATTCAGGAGTAACTTGCCCTGAAGTGGTGGCTTTGTTTGAAGGAAGGTGAAGAGAGCACTTCCAGTATACGTCGTTCAGGGTATTCGAAGGCACACTTCGCGAAAATTTGAGATACTTTTTTAGGCCTAAAAATGGAAGTGTTGGTTGAAAATAGTACGGCGGTGTTGAAGAGAGCTGGGATATCAGCCAACTCCACCAAAGATGATGCCTCTCGATATTAGAGACATGGAGTTGATCGAGATCACCATGACAGAAATGGCATAAAAGGGGTATTCGGACGATATTTTAGTTCTTTCAATCGTAAAGAGCTGATCACAGTGAGCCAAAAATGTTCAATTTGCTTTTCACTGTTGCCCAGATAATGGGAAGTTGTTTGATTCCCAACATGAGTTGTTTGATTCCATCTTGTAAACGACGCAGTCTCTGTGACGCCGTTGAAATATGCTGCCTTTGGTGTGGCATACGGTACAATCTTTGTGCCCCTATAACCCCTGTCTGGGCCGTTTTCCGGTCTGACAGGGCACCATATGGTATACGGTGGCTTGTACTGTATGGCTGTATGGTCACTATGAAAACAGTTTTATCGTATGAAAACATTTTTATCGTTAACTGTGCGTTTGAGTATGTGCACACCCTGATCAGACAGTTGATCAGAAACCTCATATCTCCGATAATCTCGGATCTCTCATGATCTTGGAAAAATGGAGAGCACGGTCTCTCCAATGAAAATTCGAAATACATTAATTGCGTTCGCTTGATCCACTCATTTCTCAGTTTTTTCCGTAGCAAT